TTCTTTGAGGGTTTATCCAATTGGATTGAAACTTTGCATAAATATTCTAATGCTTAAAACAAATACAAAAAAAAACATTTTAAAATGTTTTTGAGCAAAGAACCAAGTAGGAAATCAATTTTCAATTTTTGACTTGGGGCGACCCTAGTCAAAATCAATTTTGTCACTTTTTTCTTCGAGGGTTTATCCAAATGGATTAAAACTTTGCATAAATATTCTAATGCTTAAAACAAATACAAATAAAACATTTTAAAATTTCTTTGAGCAAAGATTCAAGTAGGAAATACATTTTCAATTTTGGACTAGGGGCGACCCTAGTCAAAATCAATTTTGTCACTTTTTTCTTCGAGGGTTTATCCAATTGGATTGAAACTTTGCATAAATATTCTAGTGCTTAAAACAAATACAAATAAAACATTTTAAAATTTTTTTGAGCAAAGATTCAAGTAGGAAATCAATTTTCAATTTTGGACTAGGGGCGAGCCTAGTCAAAATCAATTTTGTCACTTTTTTCTTCGAGGGTTTATCCAATTTGATTGAAACTTTGCATAAATATTTTAGTGCTTAAAACAAATACAAATAAAAAATCCTAAAATTTATTTGAGCAAAGATTCAAGTAGGAAATACATCTTCAATTTTGGACTAGGGGCGACCCTAGTCAAAATCAATTTTGTCACTTTTTCCTTCGAGGGTTTATCCAAATGGATTGAAACTTTGCATAAATATTCTGGTGCTTAAAACAAATACAAATAAAACATTTTAAAATTTTTTTGAGCAAAGATTCAAGTAGGAAATACATTTTCAATTTTGGACTAGGGGCGACCCTAGTCAAAATCAATTTTGTCACTTTTTTCTTCGAGGGTTTATCCAATTGGATTGAAACTTTGCATAAATATTCAAATGCTTAAAACAAATACAAATAAAACATTCTAAAATTTTTTTGAGCAAAGAACCAAGTAGGAAATACATTTTCAATTTTGGACTAGGGGCGACCCTAGTCAAAATCAATTTTGTCACTTTTTTCTTCGAGGGTTTATCCAAATGGATTGAAACTTTGCATAAATATTCTGGTGCTTAAAACAAATACAAATAAAACATTTTAAAATTTTTTTGAGCAAAGATTCAAGTAGGAAATACATTTTCAATTTTGGACTAGGGGCGACCCTAGTCAAAATCAATTTTGTCACTTTTTTCTTCGAGGGTTTATCCAATTGGATTGAAACTTTGCATAAATATTCAAATGCTTAAAACAAATACAAATAAAACATTCTAAAATTTTTTTGAGCAAAGAACCAAGTAGGAAATACATTTTCAATTTTGGACTAGGGGCGACCCTAGTCAAAATCAATTTTGTCACTTTTTTCTTCGAGGGTTTATCCAATTGGATTGAAACTTTGCATAAATATTCTAATGCTTAAAACAAATACAAATAAAACATTTTAAAATTTTTTTGAGCAGAGAACCAAGTAGGAAATCAATTTTCAATTTTTGACTTGGGGCGACCCTAGTCAAAATCAATTTTGTCACTTTTTTCTTCGAGGGTTTATCCAAATGGATTGAAACTTTGCATAAATATTCTAGTGCTTAAAACAAATACAAATAAAACATTTTAAAATTTTTTTGAGCAAAGATTCAAGTAGGAAATACATTTTCAATTTTGGACTAGGGGCGACCCTAGTCGAAATCAATTTTGTCACTTTTTTCTTCGAGGGTTTATCCAATTGGATTGAAACTTTGCATAAATATTCAAGTGCTTAAAACAAATACAAATAAAACATTCTAAAATTTTTCTGAGCAAAGAACCAAGTAGGAAATACATTTTCAATTTTGGACTAGGGGCGACCCTAGTCAAAATCAATTTTGTCACTTTTTTCTTCGAGGGTTTATCCAAATGGATTGAAACTTTGCATAAATATTTTAGTGCTTAAAACAAATACAAATAAAACATTTTAAAATGTTTTTGAGCAAAGAACCAAGAAGGAAATCAATATTCAATTTTTGACTAGGGGCGACCCTAGTCAAAATCAATTTTGTCACTTTTTTCTTTGAGGGTTTATCCAATTGGATTGAAACTTTGCATAAATATTCTAATGCTTAAAACAAATACAAATAAAACATTTTAAAATGTTTTTGAGCAAAGAACCAAGTAGGAAATCAATTTTCAATTTTGGACTAGGGGCGACCCTAGTCAAAATCAATTTTGTCACTTTTTTCTTTGAGGGTTTATCCAATTGGACTGAAACTTTGCATAAATATTCTAATGCTTAAAACAAATACAAATAAAACATTTTAAAATGTTTTTGAGCAAAGAACCAAGTAGGAAATCAATTTTCAATTTTGGACTAGGGGCGACCCTAGTCAAAATCAATTTTGTCACTTTTTTCTTTGAGGGTTTATCAAAATGGATTGAAACTTTGCATAAATATTCTAATGCTTAAAACAAATACAAATAAAACATCCTAAAATTTTTTTGAGCAAAGATTCAAGTAGGAAATACATTTTCAATTTTGGACTAGGGGCGATCCTAGTCAAAATCAATTTTGTCACTTTTTTCTTCGAGGGTTTATCCAATTGGATTGAAACTTTGCATAAATATTCAAGTGCTTAAAACAAATACAAATAACACATTCTAAAATTTTTCTGAGCAAAGATTCAAGTAGGAAATACATTTTCAATTTTGGACTAGGGGCGAGCCTAGTCAAAATCAATTTTGTCACTTTTTTCTTCGAGGGTTTATCCAAATGGATTGAAACTTTGCATAAATATTCTGGTGCTTAAAACAAATACAAATAAAACATTTTAAAATTTTTTTGAGCAAAGATTCAAGTAGGAAATACATTTTCAATTTTGGACTAGGGGCGACCCTAGTCAAAATCAATTTTGTCACTTTTTTCTTTGAGGGTTTATCCAATTGGATTGAAACTTTGCATAAATATTCTAATGCTTAAAACAAATACAAAAAAAACATTTTAAAATGTTTTTGAGCAAAGAACCAAGTAGGAAATCAATTTTCAATTTTTGACTTGGGGCGACCCTAGTCAAAATCAATTTTGTCACTTTTTTCTTTGAGGGTTTATCAAAATGGATTGAAACTTTGCATAAATATTCTAATGCTTAAAACAAATACAAATAAAACATTCTAAAATTTTTTTGAGCAAAGATTCAAGTAGGAAATACATTTTCAATTTTGGACTAGGGGCGATCCTAGTCAAAATCAATTTTGTCACTTTTTTCTTCGAGGGTTTATCCAATTGGATTGAAACTTTGCATAAATATTCAAGTTTTTAAAACAAATACAAATAACACATTCTAAAATTTTTTTGAGCAAAGATTCAAGTAGGAAATCAATTTTCAATTTTGGACTAGGGGCGAGCCTAGTCAAAATCAATTTTGTCACTTTTTTCTTCGAGGGTTTATCCAAATGGATTGAAACTTTGCATAAATATTCTGGTGCTTAAAACAAATACAAATAAAACATTTTAAAATTTTTTTGAGCAAAGATTCAAGTAGGAAATACATCTTCAATTTTGGACTAGGGGCGACCCTAGTCAAAATCAATTTTGTCACTTTTTTCTTCGAGGGTTTATCCAAATGGATTGAAACTTTGCATAAATATTCTGGTGCTTAAAACAAATACAAATAAAACATTTTAAAATGTTTTTGAGCAAAGAACCAAGTAGGAAATCAATTTTCAATTTTTGACTTGGGGCGACCCTAGTCAAAATCAATTTTGTCACTTTTTTCTTCGAGGGTTTATCCAAATGGATTGAAACTTTGCATAAATATTCTAATGCTTAAAACAAATACAAATAAAACATTTTAAAATTTCTTTGAGCAAAGATTCAAGTAGGAAATACATTTTCAATTTTGGACTAGGGGCGACCCTAGTCAAAATCAATTTTGTCACTTTTTTCTTCGAGGGTTTATCCAATTGGATTGAAACTTTGCATAAATATTCTAGTGCTTAAAACAAATACAAATACCACATTCTAAAATTTTTTTGAGCAAAGATTCAAGTAGGAAATCAATTTTCAATTTTGGACTAGGGGCGAGCCTAGTCAAAATCAATTTTGTCACTTTTTTCTTCGAGGGTTTATCCAATTGGATTGAAACTTTGCATAAATATTTTAGTGCTTAAAACAAATACAAATAAAAAATCCTAAAATTTATTTGAGCAAAGATTCAAGTAGGAAATACATCTTCAATTTTGGACTAGGGGCGACCCTAGTCAAAATCAATTTTGTCACTTTTTTCTTCGAGGGTTTATCCAAATGGATTGAAACTTTGCATAAATATTCTGGTGCTTAAAACAAATACAAATAAAACATTTTAAAATGTTTTTGAGCAAAGAACCAAGAAGGAAATCAATATTCAATTTTGGACTAGGGGCGACCCTAGTCAAAATCAATTTTGTCACTTTTTTCTTTGAGGGTTTATCCAATTAGATTGAAACTTTGCATAAATATTCTAATGCTTAAAACAAATACAAATAAAACATTTTAAAATTTTTTTGAGCAAAGATTCAAGTAGGAAATCAATTTTCAATTTTGGACTAGGGGCGACCCTAGTCAAAATCAATTTTGTCACTTTTTTCTTTGAGGGTTTATCCAATTGGATTGAAACTTTGCATAAATATTCTAATGCTTAAAACAAATACAAAAAAAAACATTTTAAAATTTTTTTGAGCAAAGAACCAAGTAGGAAATCAATTTTCAATTTTGAACTAGGGGCGACCCTAGTTGATATTTGGAAATGATGCCGTTTTAAAACCTGAAGTACGGCGTCATAATTCCCAAAAATGGAATCTGCTATATCCAGCCACAGGAAGTAGGACACAATTATTTTTTTTGTTGGAAGCAATTGGACGTAATATGGACTTGATTCTGGCAAAGTTTCAAAGTGATTGAACACTTCATGCCATGGTACTTCAGTCACACGCATTATTTCAATCAAGCTCTACGTTTATACTAAAATTATTGTTTTAATTTTCTTTACCCTAGATGATCCTCTGTTTAGCGATCTCGTTTATCAAGCGGAATTAGTAAGGACCTAAATTAATTTGCCTTATGAAATTATTTCAATAATTCATGCTCTTTTTAGGCCATTGATGCTGGTATCTATCCTGAAAGGATATATCAAGGAAGCAGTGGTTCTTATTTTGTAAAGAATCCTGCTAATGTAAGTTTGCAATTTTTTTCTTTTTAAATTTCTTTCGCTCAATAAACATGCCATTATGTATTTAAGAAAACCATGATTGTTAACAAATTTGAGCGTACATAAAAATGATTGGCGAGGCATTAACTTATATTTGTAAATTCTGAGTAACGTTTAAGTTAATGTTGGTTGTAATCACACAAAAATTCATTTCCCAAATTTATTTTTTTTTAATTTTAAACCTATTATTAAAAAGGTAAAACATTTGATATTAAAGCTACCTATTCTATATATTACAGAAGCTTATACATCAGCATTGATTGATATTTTCGTGATTTTTAAATTTCATTTTCGATTTTCGAAATGTTTTAATTAGTTTTGTACATTTAAGTAGTTTAACGCAACAATTGTATCTATATTACAGAAAGTTGTTGCTGTGTTTAAACCCAAAGATGAAGAGCCTTACGGCAGATTGAATCCTAAATGGACTAAATTGTTTCATAAACTGTGCTGTCCATGCTGTTTTGGGCGAGCTTGTTTGATTCCTAATCAAGGATATCTTAGTGAATCCGGTGCCAGTTTAGTTGATTCGAAATTAAACTTGGATATTGTGCCGAAAACAAGAGTCGTTAGATTGGTATCAGAAACATTTAACTATCCAAGGATTGATAGGCAGAAAGCAAGGATTAAGAGGACAATTAAAGAACGAATGCCAGCAGCGAGATTTAAACGAATGACGCTTCCACCAAAGACAGGATCTTTTCAACTTTTTGTTGATGGATTTAAAGATGCTGATCATTGGTTAAGGCGATTTGAACAAGAACCTTTGCCGTCTAAAATTGCTCATAGTTTTCAGGTTCAATTTGAAAGGCTTGTCGTATTAGACTATATTATTAGGAATACAGATCGAGGAAATGATAATTGGCTTATCAAATACGATGCACCTTCCCTACAGACGTCAAAAAGTATATCTCTAAATGGCAGTGCAAATTCTATCAATAATAACTTTATATCATTAGCAACGCCAACGCTTGTTAATGCATTGAATCACAATAATAGTTCGGGATCGATCCCGAAAAATAATGATGATTGGAATGTTGTAGATTTGCCTGAAATAAGGATAGCAGCGATTGATAATGGATTAGCATTCCCATTCAAGCACCCTGACTCTTGGCGGGCTTGTAAATAACTTTCTTTTAGATTCATACAAGATGTATAGATGAGTTCATTCAAAAAAAAAAGAGATGTATATTTAATATGGCACTAACCAATGAAGCAAATTTTAATTTTCTTGGCTCTTCGTTTCTAGATTTCGTATTATAAAAGCATTAGAAACGATAATTTACGGTTAAGAGCCTTTTTTCATGCTTTTTTGCGTCGAAAAATTCAAAACAAATTTATGTTTTTGTTTGCTTACAAATAGATAAAAAGCATATGGTTGAGCATACTTTGTATGAGCTCATCTATATATCTTGGATTCATACTTATTTTTTTAACCGAGTATTTTTCATCCCTTTTTTTGAATATAGATCCTTTTCACTGGGCATGGCTTCCACAAGCAAAAATACCTTTTAGTCAAGAGATTAAAGATTTAGTGTTACCACTGCTTTCGGATCTAAATTTTGTTGAAGATTTGTGCAATGATCTGTTGGAGTTATTTCGACAAGATAAAGGCTTTGATCGGGGATTATTTGAAAAGCAAATGTCAGTGATGAGAGGACAAATTTTAAATTTAACACAAGCTTTGAAAGATGGAAAAAGTCCTGTTCAACTTGTACAAATGCCAGCTGTCATAGTAGAGAGGTAATGCTCAAATTTAAATACTTTATATGTTACAAACTGTTTTTTTTTTTATGTAGATCCAAGATTAATCAAGGCTCATCACGCTTCGACTCATTTAAACAACAATTTATGAACAAAAGTCCAATATTCTCATGGTGTTAGTATTTCCGTTTCGGCAAGAAATATCAACGGTAAAATTCATTTTGCCTTACATAAAATCTTACTTTCGATACTATTATGAAACAGTAAGGACTAAACGATTGGGAAAGTGATAAAATATGAACATTTAGATAGCTGCTTTAAATGAGTTGTATGTAATGTATGAAGAGATTAAGACAAAAAGTTTAATTCAAGGAGAAGAAAGAGAATACTACATAATATATCTATTGAAATTAATATATTAATCCAAAAACATACTTTTCGGTACATTCCAATTGGCTTTTGCTTATAATGGTTGAATTAGCATTTGTATTTGTGTTAAATGATTAATTTTAAATTAGCCAATTCAATTTTTTTGTTTGAAAAGATATTTCAGCTTTTAGATTCATAAAAGCTATTTTTTTTTATCTCATCAGTTTCGTTTTGTCCATTTTTAAAACTAATCATGTCGTGTTTTGCTCTCTCTCTCTATCTTACTCTTTTGTTTTGTTTTGTTTCAAATTGCATATAAAAAATGACTTTTTTTTGTTTATCAATTTTAAAGTCAGTAAATAGAAAAGCATGATGCACATGGGAAATATTTAATCAGCAAATCCCTTAGTGTAAAGTTTAAAAATAAATTATCAATCAATAAAAAAAATTCTAATCGAAATACAGAAAATAAATTTATTAATTTGAAATATTTTGATTTAACATTCTATATGTGGTGGCATCAAGTTAGAAAATTGTTCGTCTCTGAAACATCCTGGAGCTAAATATGAAAGCTTAGTAATAGTGTCTTTGGCAAATTCAATTGATGGTGGTTGATATTTTGCCTTTTTCGCCCATGGAAATTCTTCACGAGCTGATGGACAAGTTGGCAAAAAGCTTAACTTTTGAGTCGTTTGAAACTCCATTGGAACTGAAATTTAAATAATCAATAATTATTTAAATATTATTAGGAACGTAACAAACAAAAGAAATAAAATTACTTTCAGATTTCTTATACGCTATCATTGGCTTAAAAGATTCTCGTTTATCAACTACACATGTTGGCATGAATGAAAGTCGTTGAGTGGTTTCTTTTTCGATACATCCACAAAGTTTCTTAATATTATCTTTTGGTAGAATTTTCAAACGACGATATTGAAATTTAGGAACAAAATCGTGCTTTTGAGTTGTCATATCTTGCATAAATCCGACACCCAAGAGAGATGAAGATTTTGGAATGATTGGTTTCGCACGGTCCAAGACACAATATGATGGAAATGAAAGCTAAAAAATAGATTTGTTTTTTTTTTGTGTTTTATACCATTTTAAAGAATTGCATCAATCAAAATAACCTTCATAATAGTTTCTTTCTCAAAAGCAGAATCAGGACTCTTTAAGAAACTTTTGGGCTGAATTATTGGAAGTCGACAGGAAGCAGCAGTGTTTGGATCAATACATTCAAATGATTTCTTATATATTGTCTCATTAGCAAAAGAAAGTGTTGGTTTTTGATAGCAAACTATTGGCTTGCAGCTTGTTTGGCGAGGTGGTTGAATATACTTATTAAAAAATGGTGAACACATTGGCATGCGACATTTCTTAGGGCATGGACAAAATTTAGATTGATGTTCATCTGTTCTAATTTCTTCAAATAAGGATGATGATGATTGTTTGCATAAATTGTAATCACCATTTAATGATGCACCATTTTTCAATTTAAGACATTGACTACAATCAGGTGAACGCTGCTCTTTATAATTTCCTTCCATTTCTTCTTGATTAGCGTGCTGCAAATTAATTTCACTGACAAGCATGACAAAAATTAATAACAAAAAAAAAGGAATATTATCTTCAATATATTAATGCTTACCACATAGTTCTTCAAGTCTAATTTTATGAAAAAAGCAAAAAGTCTACAAGAAATTTAATTTCTTTTGATTTTAAAAGTTTAACGAACTGAAACGGATAATAAATCGATTGAAAATGAAAAATGGGAAAAGAAAATGTTAACTGAGATGAATGTAATTTAATCAAGTTATATTAATAAGAAACTTTTATACAATTTTTTTTTATTATCTCATAGATTAGTTTTGTTCATTGGTTTCTGTGATTTGTTTCTTGTCCAGAAATTTCAGCAACGTAGAATGGTCTGGAGACGATTCTCGTTTCTCATTTATGGCTTTTTGTTCATCTTCTTCTAAAATGCTGTCTTCAATTTTTTGTGCTGGCTCAATATTTTGTTTCATCCTTTGATTACCACCAGATATGTCAGTGAAAAATTCATCTGATTGCGAATATCTTCGTCCTGTTATTGTAGAACCGAATGGAAAAATTTTATTTGTATCATATCCAGCTGAAGATATTTGATCTCCGACATATGAATTGCAAACGTCACTTTCTTTTTGATCCATTTCACTGTGATTGCTAAACCAATTATCAACGTCTTTGATTGACTCTCGTCGTTCAAAATCTGATTCTATTTTTCTCATTCCCACCTGTGACGAAATTGATTTTTTCACTTCATTCTCTCCTTCTTCGTCCGTACTTTCAAAAGAATCACTATATGAACGATTATCAAAGTCATCTTCATGAATTTCTTTCGTGTGATCGTTTATCTTTTTATTATCTAATGATCTCGTTGAGTCTAAAAATTTCTTTTCCTCGTCAACATTAATAATTGGTTCCTTTTCAATTGATTGTTCTAGAAATGACTGAAATTCCTTAATTATGTCTGAATTCTTATTGTACATTTCATCAATTACATCACTCACATTTAAACTGACGTAAACTTTATCATCCATTTTATTATCTCTTTTTTCCGTGCAAGCGTTGTTATCGTTTTCGAGAACAAGTGAATCTTTTTGAATTGTTGGTGATGTTTTATTTATCTGTACATTTATCATTTCATTGTCAAATGATGGAGCACTCTCAGTGCTGATTTTTCTAGGAGTTGATATTTTTCTCACTGCTAATTTAGACGTAGGTGTTACTAGATTTGATCCATCATTATGAGTATGATGAGAAAAATCTTCAGGGTGATAATTAAAATCGCTCATACCATATGCCTTATTAATGACCAAATCAACAAGGTCAGTCGTAATATTTTCATCGTTTTGTAACTCGTTTAATTCTTCATTTTTTTCGTTTTGCTTTTTATTTTCTTTTACTCTCTCCACAGAAGCATTACTCGTTTCTATTGTAATTGCCGGTGGAGCTGCTGAATTGGTTATACATTTCTTTCTATTTGGAGTCGCTGGAGGTGATGGAAGGTTTTCACGTGATATTCCACGTTTAACAAGTACTTTAGCTTGAACATTTTCAACACTGGATATAACTTCAGTATCAATACTTGGTGTTGCAGATTTGAATTTTGAAAAATCTCTATCTGGTTTCGGTGGTGCATGATCACTATCATTTTTATGCATGTTGTGTGCATGTATGTGTTCATCATCATCACATATATGTTTGGTCTCTCTTTTTCGTGCAATGCAAGGTGGCTCTACCACAGGAATCTGTCCCTTATATTTTTCTTCGTCTTCTGCATTGCGTATATCATCGAGCATATTCATCAAAAAAGAACTCAAACTTTTATCAGAGATGTGCTTGCTATCTTCTTCTGTAGTCTCTTCCATTGGAATTGAAATGGTTGAAACTGGTTGATCTGATAAGTGATCTGATAAAGATTCACCAAAAAACTTGTCACTTTTTTTATTTCCAATCTTTAATTTCCTTTCAGGTGTTGAAGTTCTTGTGTCAATCATTGATCTTTCTTGTAGTGAATTTTCTCCATTGTCAATAAAGTCAAGACCATCTATCGTTCCAAAGACCTCTTTAAAGCCATTGGGGACAACATCATCGTTTTGAAATGTAGATGGTAAAGTAGACCCTTTCTTTAGTGTTGCTCGTTTCTTCCTTGGAGGTGCAATTGGTGGACTCAAACTATTATTTCGGTCGAATATTCTTGCATCTAATGATATTGTAGATTTTATGTCACTTATGAGATTAGGTGTCGAAAAAAACCTGCATACATAAAAATCTCATTTGATAAGAATTTATACATAATGGTTGTGGAGGATCGCTTACATTTTATTATTACTGTTATTGTGCGAAACATCCTTTCTCGTACCGTTCACCAAAGAATCGTTTGAAAAAAGTTGAGGTTCATAAGTGGTAGCTCCTTTGACAGGCCCTTTCACATATACTCTTCTTGGGGATTTTTCTCGACACAATAAGTTACCCATTTGGAGCACAGTATAGACTAAAAAATAATGTAAAAATGACAAATTTGTTTAAATTTTTTTTATAGTTTATTTGTATAAGTCACGGTTAATTGTCATTAAATGTTTGAAATGTGATAAAAAATTTTTTTGGATTTATAAAATAAAAATTCATCTCACTTGAATAAGAATCAGAAATCAAATGAAAGAAATAGCATCTCATGGTAATAATATTTCAAGCTTTCTTTTAAATAAATTTTCAGACCTATTCAAGTGTTAAACGATAGTTAATATATTTGCAAGTTCAATTACCACGTTCAGTCATATGACATTAAATAGGGAGTAGTCTGAATTTAAGTATAATTCGATATTCATTCAACCATTAAGGAATTTATTTTGTTAATTTATGTTTAAAATTAAAAATAAACTGTCAAATTATTCTAAAATAAGCCAACAAGTTATTATTTCTTTTTTTGGAAATAATGCGGTACCTGGTCTATCTGTGTTCCAACAGATAGAATAACTTAATGACGCAATTTTTGCATGTATGCTTTTCGCTAAATGAATCTCATTTGTAGTTAAAGACGTAAAATAATATTGCAACTTTAATTGCCTTCTTAAGTCACGTGTTGAATGAATATCATGTGAAAGTTTTTATCAACATTACATTCTTTCTTCAATAAAAGTGTTTAGATTTCAAGCATTGTTTTTTTTTTGTTCAAAATTTATATGGCTTTAATGTATTTACAACATTCAATTTGTTTTAACAAGAACAATAAAACTTCAAGAATGATGATGTGATAATAAATAAAAGTTTACATCATCTGCATAAATTGACTATCGTATTAGCAATAGTAAATTTGCTTCCTCTATAATCATGTAAATAAAAAAACTTGTTTTTTTTTTTAATTCTTAAAAGTATAATTTATCTCGATTTAAAAAAAATTGAAATCATCAACCGTATGAAACTCTGAATGAATACAAAAATAGCATTGAATATTTTTTTCTTTTTTTTTTGTTATTAGAAAGGTTGATTGAATTAATTTAAGAGACAAAAACTTCGATATATAAAAGTTCACATGTCAATTGATTTCTCAAACGGGATACGCTTCTTTAATCTTGATGAATAATTAATCTTGCATTATGATCTAATCTGTTTTTACTAGAAAATTATGACATCATAAACACTTACCTGAGAACTATGGTTTATCTAATGGTATATGATTTGCATGAAAACGCACAATAGTTTTTAGAGGTCACACAACGAATGAAGATGACCAAAAATTACGCGTTATTATTAGCACTTTTATATACTAGCTGATCTTTTTCGGTATTTCGGGTATTTCGTGTGATTTTCAATGAAATATGCAAATGGATGTAAATCTTAATTGAGATTTTGTTTTTTCCAAATTAAAAAACAATTTTTTTTCCAAACATTAAGAGATAGAATCAACCATTCGATACAATATTCTGAAAGAAACTAAAAATGCTGCTAGTGACGATTCTCCAAAAACACATACCTACTCTTTTTCGTAGCGAACTGTACACAGTAATATTTGTGTCTAACATACACGATAAAAACTACACAGTGGGAGAGTTTTCTGCCATAATAAATGAGGAACTTTTAACTTGACAGTATCATGTTTGACATGCATATTCATATGAGAACATAGTGATGTCGTATAATAAATAAAATATAAAAAAACTGTCATTTTTCTCTTCGTTTTCTAATGTTTTAATTTATTTTTGCATTATCCACAACAATTTTTTGAAACTTAAACTATTGATTCTCAAAAAAGAGAGCAAAGAGAAGAAAAATATTGTGAAAATAAACCAAAAATCTTTTAATATGTGTGATGATTCATACATTTAGTTATTTAAAAATGAATTGTTTTTGTTTTAGAATTTCTTTTTAGAAAACAATTGATTTAAATTGAATTTCAACTAATGTGTAAGAGTCAATAATTTTAGGCAGCTTAAATGAAACTAAAACAATAATGCAGTTCTCGAGAAAAACTTTATGTACTCAATTTTGAAAATAAAACAAAAAAAAATGATGAGCTTTAAATTTGTTAAGTTTCATTATATTTTAGTTTGATCAAATTGCATCTACAGGATCAACTTCGTTGTCGGAACTGCTATAATCGTCGAATTCAATCTCATCATCCATATCACCTTCCACGAACGTAACAGTATCATTAATACGAACGGATTCTGGAAATTCGCCATATGTTTTTAGATTTCTTGCTTCGTCTGGTGTATACTTAAAGATGACATCAGCTTTTGTGTCTTGATAATCACGCAATCCCACAAGAATGATATCTCCCTGATTTATCCAAACCTTAAAATAAATTCAGATTATAATCATCTTGCACTACTATTTTATCAATTGAATTATAGAGTTTTGCTCTGGATCTTTTAAAAAGGGTTGCATGATATCAACCTTCAAAAGAATATATAAGATTATTTCAGAACAATGAGCTGCAATTCAAATCAGGCTATTTCTACTTATATATAAAATCATGCTTAAACTGGCACATAAAATGCCTTATCGCGAAAGAAAGACAACTTTTACTTTGTCAAAAAACATGGTGTCGTCGTAGACTATTTTTTTTTTTCATTTTTAACTTAATTTTTTAAGACAATTATTATTTGTTTGCACCTTTTTCCTAAGTTTCCCTCGAATGTGACATAATCTTTTGACTCCATCAAAACACATTGCTTCAAGCCTTCCGTTTCCGAGCATTTTTGTAACTTGGGCATATTCTTGTTCATCTTCTTTAAACAACAATTCACGCTTTTCTGACTCGTTTTCATTTTTACCACGACGACGATTTTTTCCTCCCTTTCCTTTATTCTTCGGCATATTTTGATTTGACTTTCTTTATGCTCTTTTAATGCGAGATTTTTAAATTTTTCTTTTTTAAAAAATATAATTTTCACTTTTTAAATAGGGGGTTTTCAACTACCTATTTTTGAAATAAAAAAAGAAACACAGGAAAGCAGGGAGCAGAACTACACGCAAATTCAGCGAAAAAATAATTTGCTGAAAAAAAAACTTCTCTTGGACATAAATTAATATAATTTGCTAATTAAATATAAAAAGTGATATTGGAAATATATAAAAACTTTAAAAATGTAAATCTCGATATATTAAACATTAAATTGTCAAAAGAAAGGTTTCAAATCAATCAATTTAACCGATTTAACAGGATTTTTTTAAATTCAATTTTTTTATATATATATAAATACTTTTGTTGACTTTTTGTCATTTCTTCATACAACATAAAACCATATATTTTCAAGACCTTTTTCTTTATCATTTGTGTGTACGTCTAATATAAAAATTAAAATTTAAATCAAAATCGAACGACAGACAATATTGTGAAGTTATTTTTTTTTAAATTTATAATAATGGAATTCATTAATAGCGCATTAGATTTAGATATAGTTGCTTTTGATGAATCAGGTTTGTGTGTATATTTATTTTATAAAAAAATAATGTCTTAAATGAACCTTTTACCTTTATGGTGATTTTTGTATTTTCTTAATGGCATATAAATATGCTTAATTATAAAATTGATTCCTATAGCTGATGCTGAAATCCAAGATAATTCTCTTTTTGCATCAAGTAACAATTCATATGTAAGAAAAGTAATCACGGGTAAACGAAACCTTAAATAACTTATATTTAATTTTATGAAATGTAGCAACAAAGTGGAATGCTTAATGGAAGTGCATTCAATCATCACATATTTGGTGAAATTTCAAGACCTATTAACGAAGCAGTCATCGATTTAAGTTCAGATGAAGAATTTGAAGGATTTGAAGCACTCCCAACGCATCGTAAACGACAGCATCATTCAACTGAAAATCTAAATGGAAACAGCAATAAAAGGAAACACAAGGAAAGCATAAAGCTGTTTAATGATAGTCAAAAAAACAGAAATCGTAATGTTCCTTTGAAGAAGCGAGGTGCAAGTAATCGTGAAGAAGAACTCAATTTTCTCAATTTGATTGCAAGTGAAGATTCGAATCATGGCCAAAACACAAAAGTTGGTAGTTCTAAAGATTCATTAACGACATGTGATAGTAGCAATTCCTCGAACCAAAAATTTTATCACGAATTAGAGCCAAAGGAACGAAGGACTTGTAGTAATAATGATCATAACAAATCCAGCAAAAACACAGAAGCTAATTCAATTTGTAACTGCTTAGAGTGCTTTCCAAGCTTGGGCCCTGATATCGTTGGTAGTGCCAACATTAAGTGCAAGAAATTAGGAAAAGCAGATTCGAGTAGTCCTTCTCTTATTAGCAATAGCTCATTGATAATAAAAAATAATAATCCTTCGACTTCTTCATCACTCCGAACTGATTTGTCTCTAATTCCTGGGCCAAGTGGAATTCAACAAACTGCAAAAAGTTCCGTAAAAATAAAGGAGCAAAAATTATGTGACTCTGATGATGATTACGACTCGGATGAACAGCAAATTCCACAGTCGGAAGGAGCAAAAACTGATGATTTAACAGCTCCTCACTTACAGCTTGATTGGAGTGATTCTTCTGATGAAGACGATGACGACGATGTTATTTTTGTCAATGATCGTTCTGAGCCAATAGATTTAACGGCCGATTCTGATAATGATTATGCAAACAAAAATCAATCGTCTATAGATGCTTCGAAGAAAAGCATCGACATACGATCGATTGGTGAACAAAGCATTGAAAATCGGTCAAATTCAAGTATGAATTATCATTCACTATGGCCTCCACCATCAGCTTTATCAATTTCTCCAAGAAATTCAGTCGCTAATCCTCAACGTCTTCCGATAATTTCTCCACAACCAAATAATATTTTACCTCCAACTCCTCCTCCAATTATTCCACTACCAACTATTTTGCCTAGCAATACTTCAAGACAAATAAACTTTCAGGAAGTAATTACAGGAAATGATGTGATGTTGTTTGAAGGAGCACAAAATTTTTCAACACATTTGTCAAGAACAAGAATCACATCCCCTGTTTCTAGTAATGGGTCTCGACAAGAAAATATTTCAAATCAAATCAGAGAATCAAATCAGAATAATTATAATAATGGCAACAACAATTTATCTTTAAATAGTCACAACATTTATCATCGTAGAAACTCTTACAATCATACAGCAAATTTGCATCATAATCCATCGTCCTATCGTATCGAAGATTTAACCTCACAGTCAAATAATGTGCCGCAAACTGCACAACAAAATAATCGAGGAGTCGGTCGATGTCCTTTTTTGACCGAAGGACATCACTATAATCGACCTTCTAGACGTTCGGCACGAGAATTTTATCCAATGTCTAATGGACGACCTTATGCAGTTCACGAAGATTTATGGAGAAGACAGTATCAAGAACAGGAAATTCGCCGTCATTATTGGTCAACTGCTGGATTTAATGAAACTCCCGAAGTTCAAGTTCACATGTTACATATGGATCCGTCATCATCGATTCCTCATCGTCTAGTAAATAATATGAATGACAATAATTCTAACAATAATTCAACAAATGACATCCTTAATCGATATCGAATGCAACGCAGTTTTCACCGACGTTCATGGTAAATTAATTTATTATACAAATCCTTAACTTTTTAGTGCATTTTTAAAAAATAACAAAAGTCCTCGTGTTATTTATCGAGGGACTTCAGCGCATTTTTGACGCAGCGATCAGTATTTGACAAGCATCAAAATGCGAATCAATAAGCAAACAGCTCTAAAATTTTGCCTTTATCAAAGCATATCCGTTGTATTTCAAAAAATATTAAACATTAGGTACAGTAAAAACTTTTTTGTCCTTTAAGGGTTTTTTTCAGAGATCGAAGCCGATTTTTTCGGCTTAACTCAATTTTTTATTTTTTTGATAGAAAAAAGCCATTTAACACCCATTTTAAGTATTTAAATTGAACTTTACATGCTTTACTATGATTCTGTGAAATATTTTTTCAGCATGTAGCTATAGTAAGCTCTGAATTTCAATTTAGCAGATTTTAAGCCGATCGGCTTAAATTTCGGCTTAACATTCTTTAACTTGAAATTCTGAGCTCACTATAGCTACATGCTGAAAAAATATTACACAAAATCATAGTAAATCATGTAAAGTCCAATATAAATACTTGAAATGTGTGTTAAATAGCTTTTTTCTATCAAAAAAATCAAAAATTGAGTTAAGCCGAAAAAATCGGCTTCGATCTCTGGTTTTTTTAAATTCAAATTGTTTACCGGTTTTATACATTTGAAATTATCCCGCCATTTTTACGTGAGTATTATTTTCGTGAGATAATATAATAAAGAATTATTTTTTAAACAAATAAATTAATTTCCACAATAAAAAAAACTCTTGAATTCAACAGGATTTGTCATTTAACCATTTTCTTGAATTCAAATGAATTTTTCATTCGACGGTTTTTTTGAGATTCAAATTTTTTAACGGTAGAAATAAATTTGAATTTCTGAACAAACCCTTAACAATATTTAAAGCGGTAGAAAAGAATTCAAATTTTTAAAGTACTCATCACGTGTTTTTGTTTATGAAATAAAAAAATCATTAATTATAGTGTTTATCCATTGTTTCACGGTTCGAAAATAATCGATAATCCAATAAAACAATAGACCTGAGCTAATAAAACAAGCTAGAACTCTCTACGATGTCTGGTTAAAAAGTTTTTCTTCGCCCAAACGAGTAGCCGAACGAACGAACGAAAATTTCGCATTATTAAGCTCTCTTGTATACAAGTATACAAAAATGCGTTAAAAATGATTTTATAAAGGGAGATTAATAATTTTTAACAAGACATCCACAATGATTCAGATCTGAAAAAAATGTTCAAATAACCCTTGTGCAGAATATTTTTCAGACACATTGAAGTAATGAATTTTTTTGTTGGTATTCTCTGGTTTAGGACTTTTAATGCCTTTAATCTTACTTGATTATTGACTCCTCAAAATATTAAGTCATGCATTTGAGGATAAATAACTTATGAGTGTTTAAAGCAGTTTAAAGTCTTGGTAAATTTCAAAAAAATGAATCATGAATATTCGCCCAATTAATAGGTTTTCCTTTGGTTTCTTTACATAAACACAAAGTACTAAGCTTAATTAAGCTAGTTATCAGCATTAAAACTGGAAATTAGAAGTAGAAAGGAGAAAAAATTTAAGAAAAATATTTGTTGTCATTTTGTAAACAAATTTACTGTCATCTTAGAATCGAATTTTTGGAAGCTATACAACATATTCGAATGAGATATTTTTACAGAACATAAAACAAATCATGTTCTGCAATCTGGCATTTAAAACATATAGTTTAATTAACTTGTTATTTTTGAACATTTTTTTCAAATCTGAATCATTGTGCAAACAAAAACGTTGAATTTGAATTCATTAAAATCGTTTGTAATTCTCCTTTTTTACTCTTTTTTTCTAGGCATACACATAATGAAGGCGATTTTCATCACTTTCATCATCAACCACACATACATCATCATCACATGCATTATTCAATCCCACAAACAACCCCTCATGTTCACTTATCAATTGGCGTAAGATTTTTTTTTTTTTTTTTGATATAATAATTTAAATAATTTTAATAAAAACTTTTTTTTATCTAGCTGAGACAACCTGAACGAGTTAGCCAACCACTAAACTTATTAACTCGATTAAATCGATTTGTTAGAGTTATCGAGGAGCGAGTTAGTCGAGGTGCAACACAGGTAACCTTTTTACCCTCTGCATTTTATTTTCTGATATTTATTTATAACTCTGATAATAATTTTCAAAAACTAGGAAACGATTGAGATAAACACACTGCCTCATAAGTATAAAAAACTTCGTCGTGGCAGTGAAACAGATGAAGACAGTGAAAAATGCACAATTTGTTTGTCGCAATTTGAAGTTGATAACGACGTCAGGTACTAATGAATTATAACATTACAGATGAATTATTTTCTTAATTTCTTGATTTTTTTTTGTTTTGTTCATAGACGTTTACCATGTATGCATTTATTTCATCGTGATTGTGTCGACCAATGGCTTGTGACCAGTAAACATTGTCCAATTTGTCGTGTGGATATTGAAGCACAAATTAAATATAGTGATTTGGGATGAAAATTTGTGATATGAAATGAAAAAATAAAACTAACAACCAACATATAAAAATATATAAAGCAAGATCGATTGTTCCTTATTAAATTGTTTATTTAACTAGAAAAAAATTACAAAAGTCCTCGTATTATTGATCGAGGGACTTCATCGCATTTTTGACGCAGCGGAAGGAAATAGCTCTAAAAGTTTACCTTAAGCAAAACGTCTTTGTTGGATTTCAAAATATATTAAACACCATTAAACATTAGGGATGTAACGGTTTTTGAAATTCAAATTGTATAACAGTTTTATATTTCTATATTTTCGTCAGATAATATAATTGCAATTCTTTTTTAAATTGATTTTTACAAAAAAAAAACCTCGATTTCGACAGGATTTATCATTTAACCTTTATTAAAAGAAAATTTCAGTTTCAACAGTTTTTAAGATTTAAATGTTTTAATGGTAGAATAAATTCAAATTTCTGAACGCACTCATTACGTGTTCTTCATATGAAATAAAAAATCATTAATTAAAGCATAAACCCATTGTTTTAACTTTTTAAATGCCCCCTACTGAAATGAAACGATTAAACTAAGGTAATAAAACAAACCCGAACTCTACGATGTCTGGTCAACTGTTAATAGATTACAGGAGGAAATTTTGCTATTTCGATCACAGTAGGCTATTTTCAAAAAATTTCGATTTTATATCTTTATTAGCATTCTTTATCATTTATAATACCTATTAATGTTTTAAAATGCAATTTAAAGCATTTTTGGTTTCGATCTTAGTAGGCTATTTTCAAAAAAATATCGATTTTATATCTATATTAGCATTTTTATCATTAATAATACCTTGATATGTTTTAAAATGCAATTTAAAGCATTTTTGGTTTCGATCATAGTAGGCTTTTTTCAAAAAAATATCGATTTTATATCTTTATTAGCATTCTTTATCATTTATTATACCTAGATATGTTTTGAAATGCAATTTAAAGCATTTTTGGTTTTGATCACAGTAGGCTATTTTCAAAAAAATATCGATTTTATATCTATATTAGCATTCTTTATCATTTATTATACCTAGATATGTTTTAAAATGCAATTTAAAGCATTTTTGGTTTCGATCTAAGTAGGCTATTTTTTTAAAAAAAAATATCGAATTTATATCTTTATTAACATTCGTTATCATTTATAATACCTAGATATGTTTTAAAATGCAATTTAAAGCATTTTTGGTTTCGATCATAGTAGGCTATTTTCAAAAAAATATCGATTTTATATCTATATTAGCATTCTTTATCATTTATTATACCTAGATATGTTTTAAAATGCAATTTAAAGCATTTTTGGTTTTGATCACAGTAGGCTATTTTCAAAAAAATATCGATTTTATATCTATATTAGCATTCTTTATCATTTATTATACCTAGATATGTTTTAAAATGCAATTTAAAGCATTTTTGGTTTCGATCTAAGTAGGCTATTTTTTTAAAAAAAAATATCGAATTTATATCTTTATTAACATTCGTTATCATTTATAATACCTAGATATGTTTTAAAATGCAATTTAAAGCATTTTTGGTTTCGATCATAGTAGGCTATTTTCAAAAAAATATCGATTTTATATCTATATTAGCATTCTTTATCATTTATTATACCTAGATATGTTTTAAAATGCAATTTAAAGCATTTTTGGTTTTGATCACAGTAGGCTATTTTCAAAAAAATATCGATTTTATATCTATATTAGCATTCTTTATCATTTATTATACCTAGATATGTTTTAAAATGCAATTTAAAGCATTTTTGGTTTCGATCTAAGTAGGCTATTTTTTTAAAAAAAAATATCGAATTTATATCTTTATTAACATTCGTTATCATTTATAATACCTAGATATGTTTTAAAATGCAATTTAAAGCATTTTTGGTTTCGATCATAGTAGGCTATTTTCAAAAAAATATCGATTTTATATCTATATTAGCATTCTTTATCATTTATTATACCTAGATATGTTTTAAAATGCAATTTAAAGCATTTTTGGTTTTGATCACAGTAGGCTATTTTCAAAAAAATATCGATTTTATATCTATATTAGCATTCTTTATCATTTATTATACCTAGATATGTTTTAAAATGCAATTTAAAGCATTTTTGGTTTCGATCTAAGTAGGCTATTTTTTTAAAAAAAAATATCGAATTTATATCTTTATTAACATTCGTTATCATTTATAATACCTAGATATGTTTTAAAATGCAATTTAAAGCATTTTTGGTTTCGATCATAGTAGGCTATTTTCAAAAAAATATCGATTTTATATCTATATTAGCATTCTTTATCATTTATTATACCTAGATATGTTTTAAAATGCAATTTAAAGCATTTTTGGTTTTGATCACAGTAGGCTATTTTCAAAAAAATATCGATTTTATATCTATATTAGCATTCTTTATCATTTATTATACCTAGATATGTTTTAAAATGCAATTTAAAGCATTTTTGGTTTCGATCTAAGTAGGCTATTTTTTTAAAAAAAAATATCGAATTTATATCTTTATTAACATTCGTTATCATTTATAATACCTAGATATGTTTTAAAATGCAATTTAAAGCATTTTTGGTTTTGATCACAGTAGGCTATTTTCAAAAAAATATCGATTTTATATCTATATTAGCATTCTTTATCATTTATTATACCTAGATATGTTTTAAAATGCAATTTAAAGCATTTTTGGTTTTGATCAAAGCAGGCTATTTTCAAAAAAATATCGATTTTATAACTATATTAGCATTTTTTATCATTTATTATACCTAGATATGTTTTAAAATGCAATTTAAAGCATTTTTGGTCTTGATCATAGGAGGCTATTTTCAAAAAAATATCGATTTTATATCTATATTAGCATTCTTTATCATTTATTATACCTAGATATGTTTTAAAATGCAATTTAAAGCATTTTTGATTTTGATCATAGCAGGCTATTTTCAAAAAAATATCGATTTTATATCTATATTAGCATTCTTTATCATTTAAAATACCTATTTATGTTTTAAAATGCAATTTAAAGCATTTTTGGTTTCGATCATAGTAGGCTATTTTCAAAAAAATATCGATTTTATGTCTATATTAGCATTCTTTATTATTTATAATACCTAGATATGTTTTGAAATGCAATTTAAAGCATTTTTAGTTTTGATCACAGTAGGCTATTTTCAAAAAAATATCGATTTTATATCTATATTAGCATTCTTTATCATTTATTATACCTAGATATGTTTTAAAATGCAATTTAAAGCATTTTTGGTTTCGATCTAAGTAGGCTATTTTTTTAAAAAAAAATATCGAATTTATATCTTTATTAACATTCGTTATCATTTATAATACCTAGATATGTTTTAAAATGCAATTTAAAGCATTTTTGGTTTCGATCATAGTAGGCTATTTTCAAAAAAATATCGATTTTATATCTATATTAGCATTCTTTATCATTTATTATACCTAGATATGTTTTAAAATGCAATTTAAAGCATTTTTGGTTTCGATCTAAGTAGGCTATTTTTTTAAAAAAAAATATCGAATTTATATCTTTATTAACATTCGTTATCATTTATAATACCTAGATATGTTTTAAAATGCAATTTAAAGCATTTTTGGTTTTGATCACAGTAGGCTATTTTCAAAAAAATATCGATTTTATAACTATATTAGCATTTTTTATCATTTATTATACCTAGATATGTTTTAAAATGCAATTTAAAGCATTTTTGGTCTTGATCATAGGAGGCTATTTTCAAAAAAATATCGATTTTATATCTTTATTAGCATTCTTTATCATTTATTATACCTAGATATGTTTTAAAATGCAATTTAAAGCATTTTTGGTTTCGATCTAAGTAGGCTATTTTTTTAAAAAAAAATATCGAATTTATATCTTTATTAACATTCGTTATCATTTATAATACCTAGATATGTTTTAAAATGCAATTTAAAGCATTTTTGGTTTCGATCATAGTAGGCTATTTTCAAAAAAATATCGATTTTATGTCTATATTAGCATTCTTTATTATTTATAATACCTAGATATGTTTTGAAATGCAATTTAAAGCATTTTTGGTTTTGATCATAGTAGGCTATTTTCAAAAAAATATCGATTTTATATCTATATTAGCATTCTTTATCATTTATTATACCTAGATATGTTTTAAAATGCAATTTAAAGCATTTTTGGTTTCGATCTAAGTAGGCTATTTTTTTAAAAAAAAATATCGAATTTATATCTTTATTAACATTCGTTATCATTTATAATACCTAGATATGTTTTAAAATGCAATTTAAAGCATTTTTGGTTTCGATCATAGTAGGCTATTTTCAAAAAAATATCGATTTTATATCTATATTAGCATTCTTTATCATTTATTATACCTAGATATGTTTTGATGAATGGTGTTCATCATAATTTCAAGTTGGCTTTGAAAATTAGAAAAAGTTAATGTAAAAAATTGGTGAAAACGATCACAACGTTGTAAATTGAAATTGAAATTGAAATAAATTGAGATTATATTTTGTAATTCTTTTTATCAATCCTGAAATTGAAATACAGTCCACTATAAGGAAAAGCTATCGTTTTTCATGGTCCTTCGAACCTTGCGATTGGAACAGCAATTTTGGAAGATAGATTTTATTGAAATTGAGGCTGACAGATTGCTGATAGATTGAAATCAGCAGCAAGCAGCGAAAGGAACGTTATTGTCATCGTCCCTTAAAATTGGAATTGGAAGCTGAGCTTCATCACATCTTTATTAAAAAGATTGCGGTTCTTGAAGAAATTGAATTTGAGAAAATTATTATACAAGAAACCTTTGGAATTGAAGTTGAAGAATTAATTTGAATTTTCAACAAAATTTTGGAATTGAGAAATTGTCAAGAAAGGAATTCGGTGTATTGGAGCTGATTGAACTAGTTCAAGGGCCAGATTCGAATTAGTCTTGTTATATCCAAGTTAATTCGAAAACGAGCGTGAACTCGACGCAAATCGCGCAGTTATCATCTCTAAGAAGCAGAATTCAAATAATTGACAATGGCAAGAGCTAAAGCAATTGAAGCTGAAAAAACAGAAATGAAAACTGTTATGCTTGCATATGAAGTTTTTATGACATTACACGAGCCAGGTATTGATTATGAGGACATCCATGATTTAAATACTGCTTACAACATCCTGGATAATTATTTAAAAACCTTTAAACAACACCGCATCGAATATACAAATTTAAAAAAGGGTGACATTGATGAAGACGAAGAATCTTTAAGTTTTATAAAATTTGAAAGAGAAATAACATCCAAACATATTGGTCTTCAATTTTTTTACTTTAAGAAGAAAGGAGTACTAGAGCAGCAGCATAATGTTACAATTCGTGAAAATGAAGATCGACGTCATCAAGTAAGAAAAGTTAAATTACCGGAAATTAAATTGCCAGA